GTTTCTTGGGATATATTCCTAGAAGTGGGATCACTGGGTCAAATGGGAGTTCCATTTTTAGTTTTTTGAGGAAACTCCATACTGTTCTCCACAGTGGCTGCACTGGTCTGCATTCCTACCAGCAGTGCAAGAGGGTTCCTTTTTCTCTGCATCCTTGCCAGCACTTGTCATTTGTTGATTTGTTGATGATAGCCATTCTGAAAGGTGTGAATGGTACCGCATTGTCATTTTAATTTGCATCTCTTGGATGATTAGTGACTTTGAGCATGTTTTCATATGTCTCTTGACCTTCTTTATGTCCTCTTTCAAAAAGTATCTGTTTAGGTCTGATGCCCATTTTTTGATTGGGTTGTTTATCTTCTTTTAAATGGTATTGATATCTATTGAATGACATAAATATATAATGCACTTTGTGGCATAGTCACAGAATATTGAAAAAACACTTAACACTTTTAAATTTAAGTTTATAATTGGAATCGCAAGTTTTTATAAATCAAAATTCTATTTTGCTTTAAATATCATTTTTGAAAATGTTAAGAGGTACTCTCATGTTTTCAGGGAAAATTGTAAACTGGCCAATAAAAAAACGACATGCTGCTCCTAAAATAAAAGTCCTCTTGATCAGTTTCTTCGTTTTTCTACTTTCCCTTATTTTAATTGCCATCATTGTTCTTAAGTGGAATAAAATGAAATTTTGGAAAAGAGAAGAAGCACTAAGTGAAGGGTAAGTAAAATTATTATTTCTTATATTTATATTGAAATCCATTTCGGAAAGAATTCAAATGTAACCAAGAATATTACAAGTAGGAATTCTTGGATGGATTGGATTGATGTGTAGAAATACTGAGTCTTAGTATATAAGTTTGTTTTTTTTTCAGATTGTAGGTAGGTAGGTATTCTTCATGTGCATAGAGGCCCAGAAAAATCTGAAGCTACTCAGTAAATCCTCAATGCCTTTCAAATAGGAAGCCATTTAGGTAAAATTGCTTTAGGAGGTTTTGTTTTTTTCTCAAGAAACCCCACATTCAGATTAATAGAGATAGGTAAGCCCGTTTTGTGAATAGAATATGTAGAAGGTAAGAAAAACATAAGATAGCAAAGAATAAGGGAGAGAACACAGGATACCACCCATTTTACACATAATTAATATTGCTCATGTGTTTCGAAAGTTAGAATGAAGGTACTTGTACAACTTTATTCTGTAACAATAACACCAATACAAGCCACAATTTTCTTGGGAAATATTCAGAAAAATTAGAATGCAGAATGAAAGATAAACAAGTGTGTCTCTTTATTCCATGCTAAAGCACAATGATTCTCATTCTTTCTTGTTTTAAAATATGTTTTTTTTTATTCCAGAGAAAGAGGAGAGTAGAAGGGGGTGAGGGAGAGAGAGAGAGAGAGAGAGGAGAGAGAAACAGAGATGTGTGAGAGAGAAACATCTATTAATTGCCTCCCACACACACCCTGACCTGGGAGGACACCAAAACCTTGGAAAGTGCCCTGACCAGGAATTGAGCAGGTGACCTTTTGGTGTACTAATGATGCTCAACCAACTGAGGAACACTGGCTGTTCTCTTTCCTAATTTTGCAGAAATAAATAAAATAATTATAGAAAAAATGTATCAACACATCTGTCTCCCAAGTTAGTTATTTTTATTTATAAACAACGTAGCAGCAACTAATTAAATTCAGTGTATTATTCTGCCTGATTTATATATACATTACATAATAAAAAAAACTATTATAAATGGACTTGAATGGATATCTGGCATAAGTCTTCTTGTGCTCTTAAGGCACCTTGGACAAATCTGAATAATTGCTGGGAGTAAACATGACTTAAAAGAGATGTTATAATGGGGAAATATTGATCATAACTAAAACTGGTCTTGGCAGTCTAAGTTTTAGAGCAAAATCAAGGAGCTTCAGGGTTGCAAGGATAAGTAGTTAGGTTAACATTAGAAAGACCAAATATTAAAAATAGGATCACTGACTGGAATAGAGGAAGCAAAGTGTATCTTGGCTTGAATTGTTTGAGTAATTAGTACAAATATAACTTCGTTACTTTTCTTGATGTTGCTTAAGATTGAAATGTTTCCAAACCTAAAACTAATATTATTTATTTTATACAGGTCTATGTCAGAAAACAGCAGTAGTAACAGCTACATGACATACACAGAATTAAAGGTGAAATGAAGGAATCAAATTATTGACATAATATCATTTCTGAGATATTTTTTAATCTTTAACAATATCTAAGTATGAAACATATTTTTTCCATGTTTCACCACCATCATTCCTATTTGCCAGTATCTTAAACTAATTCAAATTTTGTTTTATCATCTTCAGAAGTAGTTAATGTTAACCAGTATTAGTCAGTGATTTGTCAACCATTTTTTTTAAAAAAAGAATGACTTTGAAGAGATTTAAATATATTCTTAAAATAGTTACAAATTGTCATGTATCCTGCTCACTCACTTAATGTATTAATTGGTAAACTTATATGGGTTGTTTTCAAATATTTACATTTCTTCCTCACTAAAATTCCATGGTTATGGTTATTCTTGTTTCATAAATGAGAAAACAGACAAAAGAATTTAAATAATTCCCCATGTGTATAGAATTTTAGTAAGTATTGGAGCTGGAGTTCAAGACAATCAGACTCAAGGGTTTAAACTAAAAACTCCACAATTTTGATACATATAGCCTATTATATAAATAGGGGTGGGTAATGGAATGTACTTTTAGTAAGGGCATATTAGATGTCAAGGAAAATGCTACATGTACTCTTCAAGGCAGAAAGACAATTACATACTCCAAGATGGAATAAAGTAGGCATCTGTATATATTTTTTTCAAATTTTAACTCATATGCATAAAGAAATCATGATATGAGATCTACCATTTGGAGTAAATGCAAAAATGCAAACATTCAACCAAGAATGAGAACAGTGCTCATCTAATAAATTACATGCCATTCCTGTATACTAGACTTTGAGAGTTAAGTCAATGTATCTGTTTCCTCATCTGCTACCAGAGAACACATTTATAACTCCTACACAGAATGTAAATTAGTCTTATTTCGGACTAGACCAATCTCTACTTCTTCTTTGATTACTCAGTTAAAATCTAAATCTCAGATGAGAATTTTGGCACTTAGCTCACTATCTCCCTCTCAAATCCTCCAATCACAGTCTCATCCTCATGCTGGATAAGCTTCTCCAGAACTAATTACCACCACCCAACTTCACTTATTTTCTTCTAGAGCTTTACACTGATCTTGTGATTTCTCTGATTTCTTCCAACTCTTAAATTATAAATTCACTATATTGCTTTAGGTGATATTTTTTCCTGTTTTTCACAGCCTTCTCCTGCTAGAAATTCTTGATTTGGTTACATTAAGATTTTGCCTCAAAATTTTCAAAAAATGGGTTAGACAGTCCATAAACAAACACATTTCATAAATTGATTATATAGTGTATTGGAAAGATGGGAAAGATTAGGGCAGGAGGGGTAATTAGAAGAGTTGATGTTGATGAAGGAATTTGATAGGAAGTTTCTAAAATATGGTTGACTTGGGAAGCTCTATTGAGCAAGTGATATGTAAGCAAATAATCGAAGGAGGTGAAAATATTTACCCAGTTTAGATGTTTGAAAGAAGTCTCATGGACTCACAGGGTCATCTCACATGAGGCTTTTTTTTAAATACAAAAGATACAGCACAGCAAGAGAGAGTGCAGGCAGTAATGGAGGTAAGAGAGACACATCAGGTACAAGGTCTCAAGGTTCCTTTTTTTAAAAAAAAAATTTTAAATAGATGATCATCAACCTCACTGCCCTTATCTTGGCAAAACGTGAAAGCAGACATCCAGCCTTTCCCAGAGTTAAAAACAGAGCTTCACCTTTGCTGCAATAAATCAATGCTGTCAGATGGCAGAGCTATACTTGCATATAACTGGGAAGGAGCTTTGCAAACACAGGAAAGAGCCAATGAAGAAAAAGTCAGGAATGTTTGTTAAATAACGGTGATGTCAGGTTATCTGGAGCAGAGTTTAAAGTAACAAGGACAGAGAGTAAAAGTGGAGACAGCAGTTAATCTAGAATTTCTGCAATAACCCAAGAGAAAACAGCATGGTACCTCAGACCAGCAACAGTAAAAATGGTTTTAGGAACCAATTTTTAAGATGAACTAACAGAATGAGTTGAGAGCTTGGATATAGAGTAAGAAAAAGTACATAGATAATGTTTACTGATATAAAGCAGGAAGATAGGAAGGCTAAAATGTAAACCCAGACCTGTTTCTAAATTTGTGCTCTTAATACATTTTAAATGTTATTTTAAAATTTATGAACATTGAGAGATAAAATCTACATAGGTAATCATGTGCCAATAGGTAACCAATTGTCTGGTGTGCACTGGTTAGGTTTTACATTTTCTCATATATGATTGGGAACATGTGAAAGAATTTTTGAAGTAGTACTTGAAGAACTTAACATGATATAGTTTGCTGGAATGAAGCAGGGGAGAATTCAGTCAGATTCAGCCAGCACTGGAAATGAGGGAAACAACGATGAGAGTATGGAATACACAGGAAAGATATGACAAGGACAGGTTTGGAAGAGAAGAAGAGATCAAAAAGTTTTGTGAGATATAACAGAGGTAGAGTTGAGTAAGTGGTGAGTGATGGATATATTTGGATGGATATATTTGTTATTCTACAAAGAATTATGAAAATTAAAACATTTCTGACAAAATTGATAATGACACCTTTTACTAAACACATACTGTACAGTAGGCTAAGAAGCACTTTGTTGGAAGGATGATGTGGAGGGGAATGAAGTGTGAGTTCTATTTTGAATATGTGTATGTGGGACACCTGTTGGATATGCATAGAGAACTCTTGGAAGTATTCCTCCTCTGTAGATGAAAATAGATCAATCAATGATTATTATTATTTCTTTTTCACATATTTTCATTGTTATCCTCTCTGTTTCCTTGTTGGTGATTTTATTTCACCCAGATAAAGCATAGGAACTATGTGAGTGAGATATTTTATAAATA